AGGTTGAGGATGGAAGAAGGCGAGCCGTCATGGGTGGGGGGAGCAGGCGGTGCAGGAAAGGGGATCCACCTTTCCTTGCTCTCCGCTGCTTGCTGCCTTTCCCTGAGCCTTGGACTTCCACCCCTTCCGCCTCCGCCCGTCCTCCCGTCCTCCCGTCCAACCTCTCTCTCCTCTGAGTCCTGCCAAGAAGAGGCAGGTCGAACACTTGCGGTGTGCACTGGATCGAAGGGATTACCCTGCTAGGATTAGGCTCGCTCGATGAGCTTGAAGTCCTTTGAGTCAGAACCTGTTTGGGGTCTGCAGAGAGTCGCACGTGGCGGGAGGGTGGCCCGCGTGTGGGTGAGGAGCAGGGAGGAAGGCTGCAGGGGCGAGGCCTTGGAGATTCTGCTCCAGTTTGGCCTGCAGGCAGTGGAGAACCCTGGATTCCTTTCAAGCAGGGAAGCGATGGGACCACACACAAACTCAGGTCCGGGTACCCGATTTCGCAGCCAAGCCAATCAGTGAGAAGTCAGGGTTGCAGCAAGGAAAGAGGTTTATGATCAAGAGGCGGCCAGACAAGGAGGTGGGCGTAAAACTCAAACCCGCCTCCTCAAAGGGAAAACAAAACGTTGGGGCGTTTATCTGGGGTTGGGGTAGGGGTGGGACCAGGAGAGCGCTGGGGGTGAAGCTTGAAGAGTCCTCTGCTCAGGTGCGACTGTCACTCGTATTTCTTCGTGGGGTCACAAGTGCGAAGTCAGTGGGGTTCGACGCGTTGCACGCCGAGGATCTCTGTCCGTGACGCGGAAAGTGGGCGATCCGTCATTTCGGCTGGTCCAAGCCTCTGCACGATGTCCGCTCGGGCGGGGTCCGGGGGGGGCTGCCATCAAGCTGCTCTCTGATCTGCCGTCTTTCCTGTTGTTCTGCAAAAACAACCTCAGAAACTTTGGTTACTTTCTCGCCCACGTCCACCCCTGTGGGGGCCGGGCACCGTGGTGTCAGTAACGGCAGGGTTTTCCTCTTGGGGTCACCCTCCCCAACAGTGTGGGAGGGATGGGTTCAAGCGGGGAGGGGGGGGGTGCGGTGTGCCAGGGAGGCCAGCCCGGCAAGATCAGTAAGGAGTCTACTGGGCTTGGTTGCGTGCAAGAGACAGGAAGGCATGCGGGCAGAGCAGCGGGGACGGCAAAGACGGGGAAGGCGCTCGGCTCCCTTTGGGGAGTCGGTAGGCTGCCAAGTGGGTGAGACAGAGAGCTCAAGCGTGGCCCTGAGGCCTCTCGCTCTCGGGGGTGGGGGGGGGCCGGGGATGAGATGGGCAGAGGTTTTCTGAGGTGATGAAAGGAAGGTAAGAGGAGGGGGAGGGTTCTTTTGGAGGATACCGGGCTCCCTTTTGGACGTGTCGGTTTTGAGAAGCCTTTGGACATCCCCGAGAGGTGCGTCCAGCAGACAGTTAGAGAAAGCAGCGTGGAGTCAGGGGCAGGGTGACGTCAGTCGTACGCACTCAGAAGCCCTGGGCATCCGGGGTGTCGAATCGAATCGTAGGAGAGCGCATGAGCTTGCTCTGAGACCCGAGGGGTTCCTGTTCCCTGAAGACCATCCTTGCCTTCGTGAACAGAACTCTTGGAGAAGTGGTCGAGAGGAGAATCCGCAGAGGAAAGGGAGACAGAGGGGTCTGAGGTTAGGAAGGGCACCTGGGGAGGGGGCCATCCCCCAGAGAAAGAGGGTGGAGAGAACTTGCAGAGACTGAAGGCGTGGGCAGCATTCCTCAGACACCACAGAGAGTTTAGGAAGCGAAGGAACCGAAGGGCGTGCCCTGGCCTCTTGCTAGGACGGGACGGCGACGAGATTTGGGGAGTCTTTCGAGGAGCCGGTGAGAGACGAGGCGATGACTGGATGGCTGACGAGGAGTCGAGGTCTTTTGGCAGCAGCTTAGCCGTGAAAGGTAGAGAGAGAAGGCGGTGGTGGAGGAGCGGAAAGGAGAGGTGTGGATGCTGGGAGAGACTTGGGTGTGCTCAGCGGCTTAAGGAAAGAAAGAGACGGGCCGAAGAGAAAGCAGCTGGCAAACTGAGGGAACGAGATCTTTGGGGGAGGCTGAGCAGACGGTTCCCAGGGCACCCCACGTGGAGCCAGGACCCTGGAACTGCCAAGCTGAATCCCTCTTCCTGGAAAACCAAAGGGAAAGGGGAGGGGTGGGTGGAGAGAAATAGAGGGACGTTCAAACGGGGGTGGGGGGTGGTGCGGGGAAACGGAGAGTTCTTGACTAGCTGGCCTCTGATCTCTTCGGGTACCGAACGGGTATGAGGACGATCCCGCTTGAGGCAGGCGATGGAGATGATTTGGAGGGGCTGTTGAGGAAACGGGGCGGGGTGGGGGGGGGTTGACCACGGCCCTCTGATGGGCTTGGGGGCGGAAGCGGCTTCCATGCCCATCGCGAGGCGCCGGTTCAGTCAGTCGGTGTCCATCCGGACCACAGACCACAGACCCCTGCTTTGGAAAACAACAAGAAGCAGTTCGTAAACCCTTGCAAAGATCTCTGAGGTCTGGTGACTGGCTTTGCAACCCAAAGCGAGTCAGGGAATAAGATCCTCCCGTGCTTAGGAGTTTTCCTCTCTGTCCCAGAGGCCGCAGAGCACCCGAGGGCGGTTTCCCAGGCAGTGGAAAGAGGAGGAGGACCGAGCCGGGGGAAAGCAAGCTTTCCTCGTGAAGTTTGGATGCCCGCTGCACGTTGGTGCCCTTCCCCTTTCTTCCTACTGTCCCGGGAGTGGGCGCCCTCGCGCGCTTTCTGATGCTGCAGCACTAAGGCAAGTGAGGTTCCCGCTCCCCGAGGGAAAGCTCAATAAACGCCCCCCCCCCCGCCCCCACCCTTCCCACCCCCCACTCTTCCCACACCCCCAGCCCCCACCCGCCCGCAACCCCCCACCTCCCAGACCCAACCCCACCCCCCCACCCCACGCCCCCCAGCTCCTCCCAGACGGTGACAGCGTGACAAACAGAATCGGAAGCGTCCTTGGCCCACAGCCTGCGATCCCACCCGTGCCGCGCCTGCTCTCCAGAGAAGTGACGTCCGTCCGCTTTAAGGTGGGTGGCTACCTGCAGCGACACCCTTTTGAAAGCGCGAACCATAGCTATTTCTTTGAAAGCTCCAGTGAAGCCGCAGAGAAACCTGTGAGCTTTAGCACAAGGCCACTTTGTGCTAAGGAACCCGCAGCGAGGGACCGGCTTTCCTGAAAGCGCCGTCGTCTCCTCTGCGGCTTGGGGAGCCTCTAGGGCTTGGACAGGCCTTGGAGCAGCCCGGCAGCACTCTTGGCGGGTGGCAGCAGCCAAGGTGTGCCGGTGGGCACGACGTCGGTCACGGCGTCTAAGAGAAGGTGCCCAGACCCTCCGGTTCCGGGGCCGGGTGGGTCGATGAGAGACACGGCTGGGGAGCAGGGATTCCCGTCCGATCTTCTGGGGGTGGCTGCGAGGGCGGTTCTCAGAAGAGCTGGCACGTTCTTAGGCAGTGTCTTCCTGGCGGGTGCTCCGGGACGCTTCCTGGGCTGAGCGGGGAGCTGTCGTGGTGGAGAAGCTCCCTGAGACTCAGCTTCTAGAAAGTTCACGAAAAGCTCCGAGAAGGAACTCTTGAGCTCGGGTTGCTGGTTGGGTCTCCGAGGAGGAGGCGTGTCGGGGGCACTGCGGGATCCGAGCCGCCCGGTCACCCATCCGGTAAGGCCGCCCTGCTCTTCCTGCAGCAACTGCTCCATGGCCTCCCTTTCCACACCCAGGGTGCTTCCCATCCGTCGGAACGCTTCCCGGCGTTCGTGTCTGGCGCTTTGCAAGGCGTCCGTGAAGAGCTTTCTCAGGAGGGCCTTGTCTGCTTTTCCTTCCAGGGTGCTCACTAAGTCGGTCCACTTCTTTTGGACGTCCTCCAGCACTTCCCGTCGGGCCTCGTCTTGTCGCTGCAGTCCTCCGATCTGCTCCTCCTGCAGGCGCGAGGCGGCTTGCGCTCTCTCCAGCCGTCCCTGCAGCGACCTCAGCTTCCCTTCCAGGCCGTCTGCCTTTTGCATCCATTCGGCCAGGACCACCTTCAGGTTGGCCAGGGCTCCGGCCTGCTGCTTCTCTGCTTCCCGGGAGGCGGACAGCTGGAGGGCAGTCTCCTCTTTCTGCTGGGTGACCGCAGTCAGTTGTTCCTGCAGGGACCCGACCCGGGCAGCGGCCCGCTGGCTCGCCTTCTGCATGGCGTGGGAAGATGACAGGAGCCTCTCCTCTAGCGCCGTGACTTTCCTCCTGAGTTGAGCCGCTCTGTCTTCTGCCAGCCGCGCTGCCCGGAGATGCCAGTCTTCGCATTCTGAAGCCTGCGTCCGAGACCTCCCCAGCTCCTGGCCTAAGCGCGCTCCCTTGTCGCGCAAAAGGCGAACCTCCTCCCGCAGGGCGCACTTTTCCACTCGTTCCTGTCTCAGCGCCAGCGCGGCCTCATCTCTCTCGTGCTGAAAGACAATGCTCTTTTTCCTGCATGGAGGTCACTGCATTGAGAAGCTGGCTCAATTCCCAGCCCGGCCCTCTTCCTTTATCTCTCAGGAGGCACTCAAAAGCCAGAGCCTTCTTCTTCAGAGAGACGCATTCGAAATTCCTTCTCCCTCAGCATCGTAGAGAGGCGCCTGTTCGTCTCTTGTAAGGCTTGGTTTTCGGTGTCCTTCTCCCTGGACCTTTCCAGCAGTTTTGCATTCTCCCGTTTGACTTGGCACGCATCCGCTTCCAGATGGACTATCCTCTCCTTCAGGTTTGTCACCGCCTGCCTCAACAGTTCGTTTTCGCTCGCTTGGGTCGTGAGGGTTTCCCTCAGAGAAAGGAATTCCTCCCTCTGCGCCTCGATTAAGAGCTCTCTGTCCTCCAGCGTGTTCTGTAAAGCCTCCTGTTTCTCCTTGAGCCGCTGAATTTCGGAATCCGTCTGTGCGTGCCGTTCTCTCTCCCGTTCCGAGGTGGCGGCCATCGCCTCGGACAGTCTCTGAGTCTCCTCCTGGAGGCTTCTGATGGCTGCGTCTTTTTCCTCCGTGGCTCGCCTTAAGGCTTCCACCTCTGCTGGCGGCCCTTTCGAAGACTCGCCCGGCGCCTCGGACTTAATTGCCTCCTGAGAGCCGGCCGCCTCGCAAGTCCGCGACGATGCGGCGGGCGGCTGTGGTGACGTGAGGGCGGGTGGACCCAAGAGAACCTCCTTGGCATTGCAGAGCTGCTCTAGGCCGAGCTGCATCTGTGCCAGTCTCTTCCCCAAGAGCCGGAGTTGGGTCGCATCCCCTCGAGGACGCGGGAACGGGGCGGCAGAGTGCATCTGTCGCCGACACTTCTCCTCGCTGTCCACTGAGGCCCGTGCCTCGAGTGGTGGGAGTTCTTTCTGAAGTTGGGATGACTCCCGCTGCAGATGGTGCACCTCGGTGAGCACCAGCCGCTGCCACTCCTCCAGCACGGTTGACCCGCTGCTTCAACGTGCCCCGTTTCCCGGAGAAGCTCCTCCAACTGATTCGCGTCCACGCCCCGAACCCTCATGGCCAGCGTCGGACGTTTGCCAGATGGTCAGTAAAGTCTGACATTTCTTGCTTCAGGCACCGATACAATGTCTTTGGCTCGGACGAAG